TTTTTTTCTGCTGCTAAGCTGTCGGCTGCTCTGTTTCTTCATCCTTCTGTGTTTTATGCCACTGCTTTTCTAGGCGCAGGGAGCGTGGAGTAAGCAGTTTTCAACTCACCTGAATTGAAATAGCTCTTAAAAGCTGGTTAAAAAGAAGCTCTAAATGCCTGTTAACATGAAGCCCCTACACTCAGAGGCAAGGCTAAGTCTGAGGTTATACCTGCAGTGCAGTTTTAAGATAAAATCCAAACCCTCCCTTTAACCCACAGCAAAAGCTGCTCATTTAAGCAGGAAATGGAAAGTGGGAGTTGTCAGATCCACCTCCACTCACCTCCCTACAGGTGTGTTCCCTACCAGTGTGCCCCATGACTCCTGTAACCCATAACCAGATAAGATCCTGCTGGGAGATCCTGGAGTGGCTCAAACACAAGCTGCTGTGAAGCATTTGGCTTGTTCAAGACTTCCCCAGCAGCGTTGGTTTGGCTGCCCAGCACAGCAAAAGCTGTTTCAGTTTTTGGTCAAAGTTATCAGCCCTGCACCTGAATATTGAAAGGAACTCCTGGGGCCTCTCTCTGCTGCAGCAACCCCCCCTTGGCTCCAACCCAGCTAGTTCTCAAAGACCAAACCAGGAGCATCAGATGCCCACGTTACTCCACGCTCTTGCAGGGTGCACCAGTTTTTTGGACTCGATTCCCTTTGGGGTTTTCTCTCCACTTTCACCAGCAGCTCAGCACTGTAACTGCAGTTCCTTGATCCTCAGAGATATCCCCAAAATAAGAACAGCCTTTTGCCTCCTGGGTGAGGTGCAGTCACTTTACTGTTGGTTGTTTCCAGCCAACAGCCCAAGTCCAGCAGCTCTGGCTTAAGAGCTCAACGAAAGACAGCTCAATAAAAAATACAAGCTGCTCGTTAGGAGGCTGGAAAGCCTCCAAAGAATTTTTTGTCTCCATCAGAAGATTTTCAGAGTCTGCAAACTGGAACAGGTTGGAAAAGTGTGTGCTTTTTAACCCAAAATCCAGAGCAGCTCACTGCTCGTGATCTCCCCTGGGGTTGCCTGAGAGCAAAGCTCCCTCCTGACTCCAGAGCCTCGCTGTTCAGACGAGGGGAAACAGGTCATCCCTTTAGCTTCCAATAACTCCCTTCAATGTGTTTTTAGGAGGAAACCTGAACACTCAAGCAGTGTTGAGGTGAGCAGCGTGGTTGCTTTTCCAGGAAGGTGGATTCAATCCCTGAGGGATGGCCTGGGAAGCACAAGGAGGCTGTGTGAAACCCCGCACCAGGGCAGCCCCAGGCACCAGATGCTGGGGAGAAAGGGGTGGAGGGCAAAGCTGGTCCCTGCTGGGCAGAGGGGGAGCAAAGCCCTGCCCTGTCCTTCGTGGGGAGACACCATCCTCATCCTCACTGGGATCTGGATGAGGCGAGGGGGGCGAGCCAGCCCAGGAGGTGCAGGGAGAGGCCCAGGCCGAGGGGATTAGAGCTAGGTTTTAAAAGGAAAGCAACTGTTTTAATAATAGTATTGAGTCCTCGGGTGGTTTAGGGGATTAATTAATCCCTGTTTGCACAGCACTTTGTAGAGGTCAAGTGTGCTGCAGTCGCCGGGGGCAAGTGGAAAGCAACTTGGGTGGCAGGTTCCCACCTCCCAGGGGTCACCAAACTCCCTCTGCTCCAGCAAGGTTTTCTTTTCCCAGCAGCTGAGCACGGGTGGGACAAGTGGATGGGTTCTGCAGTTGGTCTGAGGGGTTTGATGCTGCTGGGTGAGTAGCTGGGGCACAACAGAGCAGTGCCAAGCACGCCTGGTCCTTCACAATCCACCCAGGCAAGGAATACCCATGACTTGCTATCATTAACATGGCAAGCATTGATGTTTGCAGCCCAGCATCAGCACCGTGGTTTGGGTACCAAGGGCAAGGAACTCTTGGTTTCAGTGCCTGTTGCTGCGAGGTAAAGTCTGTGGTTTCTCAAAAGCTTGCAAAGTAACCCATGAAATCACAGCTTCAAGGCTTGTCACTTGAAAAAAAAAATCCAAACTGGTTTGGGTGCCATCCACACGCTGCAGGTGACACGGAGCTCTTCATTTTTTTCCCCATTTCATGAAGCTCAGCCTGACATTATGACTTCAATGGAACAGAATAACAGGAGTGGACTTCCAAATGCTCAAAACAAAGCTGATACACACACATTTTGGCTGACATAAGCACTCCATGCTCTACAAAAGATATCTTACAGGCTCAGGGACTTGTAGCTGTCCCTCTGCTCAAATGTGTCAAACTATCCTGAATAGGAGGGGAAATTTGGATAATGTGAGACACCTTGGGCAACATAGAAACCAAGATTGCCAAGGCTGCACTCAATCCACCAGTGAAAACCCAACCAATCCCCCTTTAAGGAAATCAGTGTCAGGAGTGTTTAATCCTCACGTGTAGCCACCTCCTGTCTTTGCAGCTTGGGAAGGGGCTCTGGGGAAATCCCATTCCCTGCACACCCGAGGGCTCATCGAGCTGGCAGGAGCCATCTCGTGTGGCACAGGACGCTCTCCCCTGGCCTACGTTGGCTACGGATGCTACTGTGGACTGGGAGGACAAGGCTGGCCCAGGGACAGAACAGACTGGTAAGAAGAACATCTGCACTGCTTCTGGATCCACAGTTCTCCCAGCTCTTCCCTGTTGGGACTGCAGGGAATCGTTGCTGCCCGGTGGAGAGGGAAGTGTGTGCTGTAGGAACAGCACTGGGGGACACTGAGTGAGCACCCACGGGTCACTTGGGGGTTGGAGGAGGGTTTAGCCACCTTCTGGATGAGACTGAAGAGACCTTGAAGACCTGAGACCTTGTGCTTTGTGTGGTGGAGGGGGAAGGAGAAAGCAGGGTATGGTTTTCTGAAATAGTTAAGTGTTCAATCAAAGGTTTCTTTCTTGTACTCTTGTGCTCTGAGACCTTTATTTGCAATCTTGTCTGAAAGCTTCTTCTCCTTTTCAGTAGCATCTCTTGACCTCCTCACCACCATTTACAGCAGGGTCTGTAAATGTGTTTATTATTTTTATTAGCCCCTTTACCAGCTCTCATAGGCTTTTAAAGTCAACCACAACTTCACTAATCTGGCATATTTTATTTACCAAAGGGCTGAGCAGAGTTACTTAAAAGCTGTTTTCTCTGTGGTCAAGGGAGCCCCCCAGGTTTAGGCAACTCTGGGAGGTGCCTCCACTCAGCACTCCTGAAAAACAGGCAGAGAGAGTAAAACATGGCCATGCATTCACCACTTGATTTCCAGGGGATGTGGGTTTCATCCTAATGACACAAAATGAGGCTCTGTAACTGGAAATGCCTCAAAATACCAGATAGTTTGTAAAGAGGAAGCTTGATCTCTTAAGTACATTTGTTGTTATTCTTTAGCTGCAGTGCTTGGCTGAAAAAGAACAGATTTTAGTTACATTCTTAACCACAAAGAATCAGCAATGCCCCACTAGATTTAGCCCTAATATTTTCCACTTTATATTTGCTAGAGAAAACTTCTGATGCCTGTCACTGAGAACTGCTGCAAAAATCAGTGTAGCTGAGTACCCCTTGCCTGTCAAACTGTTCACATCCTTCTCCATTCAGTTCTGGCAGTTCTTTCAGCACATCTGAAGGAGATGTTTGTTAAATAGGAACCAAACTGTTCTCTCTTGGTGTTGGTGTCAGCTCCATCAGCTCTCTGCAGTTATGGGTGTTATCAGGAGATGGTGTCAGTGGGAGCAGATTTGTGCCATCCCCCTGATTTTGCCAAGCCAGCTAAGCAGAAGCAAGTTCTCACAGCTAGCTAGCACACCTCTCTAGTGCTTTTTTGGCCCTCCTTGCCTCATTCACAGCCCACCTTTTGCCCCCTCCAGGATATTGTCTCACTTTTCTCCTGGCACTTTTTCCTGTTCATTCCCTCTGGCTCTCCATGAAGAACAATTTCATTACCTGCAGGTGCCTAACCCTTCCCTTTGTCCATCTACCTTTTTGTTCCTCCTTCTCACATCACTGGCACCAGCTTTACTCATCTGACTCCTGATTCACTCTTCAGAAACTACAGTTTCTCCAGCTGCCACTCCCCCTCAGCTCAGCCTGATTCCTGGCTGTCCACTGTGCCCTCCTCTGCTCTGTCCCCATCACAGGAGACACCCATGATGGGCCTGCTCTGCTCTCTGTCCCCCTGAGGATGGGTGAGGCTGTGCTGCAACTCATCTGTTGGAGAAACCTGAGATCTCCACACTTTCCACCTCTCCAGGACAAACCCATGGGTGAGGTGTCACTGGACCATCCAAAATCTGCCCCACAGCCTGTTGCTGCTGTGACATCCAATGGAACGAGTTCCATGAGATGAACAAGGTCTTCTCAATTATAGAAATTGCTGTAAGTCCTCATGGGAAAACTTCTAGCTACATATTGTGCCATTCTGAAGTCCCCTGAGGAGCTGGCATGGAGGGAGACACTAGTCTGCTACTGGGAACTTACATTTCTAGGTCTCACAGTGCCAGGAGCAGTCTGGTTATAACCATCACACAGGCTTCCTCTTTGCAAGCTGAGGGGAAAGAAAAAGAGGCATTTAGTTGGCAGACTCATCTGTGGGATGAAATTGCTGCTTCAACTCCTAAACTGGGAGCTCAGTCAGCAGGGCAAGTCCTCCAGGCTGTATTCTGCTTGGTGTGATCATGGGTCACAGGATGAATCCACCTGACTGGTCTCATTCTGTTGTCTCACTTGGTTCACCTGATCTAGTTCCAGTCCTTTGATGAGAATTTGCATCAGTGGTGGATCTTCTTTGCCCTTCAAAAATTGGTGTGCTTTTTTTTTTTCCCCTGAGCTTTATCAGCCCAACAGTTTTCATACCCATAAATTGAGATCTGAAAAGGCAAAATCCTCCTGCAGCAGAAGGTGGTGAAGTTTGTGATGTTCCTGAGCTCTTGGCTGTGATACTGGCAGCTCCCAACAGGTCTCCAGAGAAGCCCCATTTCCTGCACAAGGGATCTTTATCCTTCTTGAAGGGCTTTTCCACTTGGTGGGATTTCAGAGTGTGTTGCAGACTTCTGGTGGCTTTTCAGGCACGCTGGCATCAGGTCTTGAAGATAATGATCAAGGTCTTCAGCTGGGTTTGGGCAGCCAGCACAGCCCTGCTCCCTTTTGGGCAGCTCATACATGTCCTGAAGACATTCACATCGAGGACTCAAGAGCTTCTCTAAAAGCTGTCTGCTCTTCATTTACCCCTAACATCAGCCTGCCTTGATGCTTCCCAATTAGGAGAGCAGTTTGTCTGTAAAATCCCAGTGATTTTGCAGAGCTAACTTCTGGCAACACCCAGGCTCACTCCTCTCAGGGCTGGTTGAGTCACCATCCCTGGGGGTGTTTAAAAGCCATGCAGAAATGGTGCTTGGGGATGGGACTTAGGGGAGGATTTGGCAGAGTACATTGGAGTAGGGCTAAGGGTTGGACTGGAGGATTTTAAAGGTTTTTTCCAACCAAAGGGACTCCATGATTCTCTCTGGCTCCTTCCTTCAGCGACCTTTGTTCTCTGGCAGAGAACCTCTCTAAGTGCTGAATCTTTGTGTAGTTTGAGTCACTAAACAACCAGGATAAAATTCAAATGGGGTTCATGTTGTCTATAAATTCTGAAGTCATTGCTAGTGGGGATTATGTCACTGACTAGTCTGTGGGACAGATACCACCAGCTGAGCTCATTGTCCTCACCCCCCTTTCTGGTCAAGGAGAAGCAACTGCACTTTCAAATCCAATGGGTTCCACAGATGTGAGATCTCTGCAGCATGATAATATGACCTGTGTCCCAGGCACACCTAAAAGCAGCCTGGAGCAGTGCAGATTAAATGGAAGTGTTTGCTTTTGGGGATCTGATATGAATCCTACCATTGAGGCTGATGAGTCTGCAGCCAGCTCTCAGAACCTGGATGGGCTGGAGAGCACGTGGCAGGTCCAGGGGAACAAGAGGTGAAGCTGCTTGGTGATGCTGAGGAAGGCAAAACCATCCAGCCTCCAGATTTTGGGCTGGGTCTAAGCCTAAAGCTGGTGAGCCACTCTCATGCACCTCAAAGGAAAGCTGTGAACCCCCTGTGCATGTAGCACTCCTGGAGAAGGTGCAAACAGCCCTGAGCAAGACATGGATGCAGGAGGATGCCCAAATTCTACCTTTTACCCTCTCCCAGGTGCTGCCACAGGCACGACTGCTGCTATGACAAGGCAGAGAAGGAAGGCTGCAGCCCCAAGGCCCAGAGGTACCAGTGGGCATGTGAGCACAACACTGTCCAGTGTGGTAAGAAAACCTCTGCTCCCCTTGGAGTCCTTCTGCTCCCCCCTCAGCAGGCACACAGCCTCACCTAAGAGCTCTGTGGGCCTCAGAGGTAGGTTTGTGTACCCTGAGATGGTTTTAAAGGTGCTCTGGGCAATGTGTATTCTCCTCTGAGCTCTCTTCCTGCCCCTTGCCTGGGGCACCAGGCTTGCCAAGAGTCCTGGAGGAAGGTTGAAGGGCAGAAGAAGGGGCCAGGGAGCTGGTACCTAGACAAGGAGGTCTTGAACTGCACAGTCACAACCTGTTATTGGTTTATTTTGACATACACCAGATGACTCAATTCTTAGAATTTGTCACTTCTATTTTTGAAACCTCCAGAAGGCCCCTGATGGTAGGACCCACTGTAGACCACTCTGAAAGACTGAAAAGAAACATGTGAGAGCAAAACTCATCCCCATACCAATCAATGCTGCTTGCTTGAACACTAAAAGACTCTTTCTGCTTTATCAGAAGACATGTGCAAAGTATGTCCCATAAAGAGTGCCCTGGGCTGCAGGAATCCTCTTCAGAAAAGCTGAAGAAGTTCTTAAGATCTTATTTCTCAGAGACAGGGTTGGTGCAGGGAAGTCCAGTGAAATCTGGGAAGATTCCTTGCACTTGGTATTGGAGCAAAGCCCATCTGCACTGGTACAATGCCACCCTGGAAGCTTTGCCCAGTGCAGGGTTTGCTGGGTGTTAGAGAATCTACAGCAGCAGCCTCAGATAAACAAGGCACTGTGCTTTGAAATAACATCAGCCCAACCATTGCATTTAAGCCTAGGTGGGATGGGATTGGGTAACCCCAAATCCATCATTGCATTCTAAATAGTTCCACATGTATGGTTGTGATCATAAAAATCAGGTACCTGGCCCTGCTGCAGAGTCCTTGGCTCCTTTGCCATGATCAGAGAGCTGGAACACAACTGAAGGATGCCCAGTGGGTGCTTCTGTGCCCTCAGGCTTCCAAATTTCCCTCTGGGAGACTCTTCCTTTCAAAGTAGCACTTTTTTTTTTTTTCTTTTGAAATTGGTCTGATGTGCAGAGAGAAGACTTGAAAGTTGACTGACTGAGGGGAAAATTGAGTGTTTTTAGTGCAGGCTCCACTAAAATAAATTCCTTTTTCAGTCACTGGACTAAACCCCCACTGTTCCCACCACCACAGAGAAGGGGACTGCTCTGTGGGGGGCAGGTTTTTATAAGCATTGCCAATTTACACTTAAATAAGGTAAATAAAAGTCCCAAGTCAGACCTGTTGATGGAGACAAGACAGAGGAGGGTCAGATCCACACACAAACATGACACATTGGTCCCTTCTTCCTTCTCCCACAGCCTCTGTTCCTCAAGAATTGCTTTATTAGGGAACTGTTCCCCATAACACTGTTTCTTGCCTTTGTCCAATGCAGAATCTCTCACCTTCTGCTCACATTTTCTTTTGCAGATAACCTGACAGACCCCTGTGAAAAAATGGTGTGCCTGTGTGACCAAGAAGCAGCCAAGTGTTGGGGAGCAGCCCCATACAACCCCCACTTCATCCTCTGGCCAGACTTTTTGTGTGGACAGACCCACCCCACCTGCCACTTCAGTTATGGGGGGGCAGAATAAGTCTTTTTAGGACCTTTCTTCTAACCCTTTGAATCTGAAGGTGCTGCAATAAAATGTTACCACCTTTACCAAAGCTAAGAGTGGTGTCACAGGATTTGTCTCAGGTCAGGGTTTGTAGGGAGGGGAGAGAGGGTAAGAGAGATGCTGAAGGAAGGATAAGAACCTGCTCTGACCACCACCTTTGGAGAAAAAGAGGGAGAAACAGAGGGTTTGGTCTGCAGTGCAGTGGGAACACTGCCTGTCACCAAGTGGCTTTTTTGGCCCTTCACATTGCCTGATCTTCAGCTCCCACATGATCTGGAAAATGTGTAGAGTCTTCTGCTGGACTGGATTGTGAAAAAAACCCCAACCCCTTTGCTGTTGCAAGGCTTTCTGGCTGGTAGTGGGCACACTCTTTGCAAAAGAACATCTTCCTTGCCTGCTCCATGTGTCAGAGCTGCCATGCTGCTCTCCTGCACTCTCTATAGGAGATGCTTTCCTATCCCCTGGCCACTGACTACCTGGGAATCAATTAGTGTTGAGAAGTGGAAATGGGGAAGGAAAATTCCCTTTTTTTTGGGGAGTAATTTTTTTGTTGAGAAGTGGAAATGGGGAAGAAAAAGAACCCCCAGGAAATGGGGCCTATGGAGAATGTTAGTCATGTCAAGCAAATCTTTCATCCCTCTTTTTTAAAGGGCATTGGTCAGGCTCCTTCTGCCTCTTCTGAAGCACTGTTGGCACATTTGAGTACCACCTTTAAAATAACCATGGCAGGGAAAGACCCAAAGCACCTCTGGAGTCAAGAGTCAGAGGTACACAGCCAAACAAAGTGGGGTTTTGGCAGAGGATACTACAGATTTCTTAGCAGAATCTGTTTTGCTCCTTGCTTCAGGAGGATGCTGATTATGCCACTGTGGCTGTCCAAGCTGAGAAAAAAGAAACAGGCTGAGAAAAATGAAAATGTCCAGGACAACGTGTGCTGAGATGGAAGCTTTTTATTCCATCTAGAGGTTCATTTTTTGGCTCACAGGGCACCACGGGGTTGTTCCACCTGCAGGCTTTGCATCTTCCAGGGACTCCTGCAGTGCTGCACCTCCAGTTAGGCTGAGCAGGAGGGAAAGGAGAGAGAGTGAGTGAGTGATACAGAGTGAGTACAACCCAACAAACTCTTCTCCAAGCCTTTCTGGCAAGCAAAGAAGTGGTGAGCTCTTCATTCAGAGAGTTTGCAGGGGGATGATGCTGCCTGGGCAGCATCAGCCTAGGGATGTGGTGGTTCTCAGCAAGAGGGGGAAGACCCTGGTGGGGGAGGCAGAGCTCCTGGCCGTGTCCCTGTCCCCGCCGTGCTGGCCATGAGGTGGCGGCAGTGCTCCAGTGAACGGCAAGAGCATCCTCAGCCCTCCAGGGAGGGGATTTTTTTTTCCAGCAGGCCGAGCAAGGTCTCGAAAGGGGAACGAAGCACGTCTCAAAGTCCAGCTTTCAGAGCCACAGTCAGACCAGGGGAAGAGCTGGGGAAAAAACGGGTGAGCTTCTGGCTACATCAGCCTCTTGTCAGGTCACATGTGATGAAAACGTCTGGTTTTCCCAAAAAAACACACCTCACACATACACTGAAGCCATCAGAGGCTTTCTGTACATGTGTGTTCTGAGAATATGGGTGTAACATGTAGCTGGTGGGAGGAAGAATCATCCAACCTTGATGGTTGGACTTGATCTTAAAGGTCTCTTCCAGCCTAAAGGATTCTATGATTCTATCCTTCAGCATACACCTAAAAGAACCAAAGGAGACCCAGGACTTTGTTGAACAAGAAGCATCTCCCTGAACCATTCTTTGTTGAAAATGGCACTTAAAGAAGATCCTATAATTTTGTTTAGAGGGAACATGTTAGGCCCCTGCATGAAGCTCCACCCAACATAAACAACTCTTTGAAAAAGAAATAGAACACAGAGCCAGCCCTGTTAGAGTTTTATCCACACTGTTTGTTTCCTGGACCTGATCCCATGTCTGACCAGAGGTGAGTAAATGCCTCATTCCTCCTTAAATTAAAATAAAAGGTATCTTTGGAAATAGGCAATTGGGTTGATTTTCCTAAGCAGGGATTCCAGGTTCCTTACCTTGGTGAGAGCCCTGTCTCATGCAGAGGACACACCTCCTCAGCTGTGGGGTTAAAACAATGATCAGAACCACCACACCTCCAACACCAGCTGCCACAACCCCAATGATTGTCCCAATGGATTCTTCTATACCAAACAAGCCTGGAAGAGAAGGCAAAGCAGAGAGAGTGACACCAGATGTCATCCAGGCAAGTATATACAGTGAAGCCAGCATGATATTGATTATGCCTGACATAAAATCCTGGCTTCTGCATGAGAAAGAGTCTCATGAGAAAGAGCCCCATTCATGGGGCTGCTCATTTCATCAGTAAATTGAGAGCAACAAAAAGTTCTGGAGAACAGTTACTTGCCTGGCTTCAAAATAGATGTTGTTTGCTCCCTGTAATGGACAAATTAACAGAGTCAGATAATTTCTCTCTTTAATTTTAGATTCGTTTTTGGGCAGGCATGTCTTTATGAATGATATTTCTCATATTCTCTTGTGACTTTCATTCAGGGATAGTGCAGAAATTAAATATATAACCTTCTTGGGAACACTGGCCAGGGTGCAGGTACCTCAGAGCAACCTGCAGTGCTGAGACTAGGAGACCTCATCAGACCCAGGACTGAGCCCATGGAGGAGGACACAGTTTTCTTCCCTTGTTGGTGCCACATTTTAACTTGCTACTTTTATAAAAATTACTAACAGAAGAACCCAGGCTCAAAAGGGGCAAAGGTTTAGTGGTGAGCTAGAAGCTTTGGTAATGAATAAGGGGGAAATGGCACTTGGATAATTTGCTCTTGACACAAAAGGTGCTGTTTGTTTTTAATTAGATAATAAGATAATAAGACTTCTGATGTGTTGGGGCTGCAGTGTGTTTAGCCTCTATAAAAAGGAGAGCTGCTTTGACATTTCTAGGTGATAAAGGCAAAGGAATTTATCCTTTTTAGAATGCCTAGTGACTATTTGTGAGGCTAGGAAAACACAGCATGGCTCTTGTAATGCTGCCTTGATTTTAATGTGAAGGAAGTTAAGCAGAAATGATCTAATGTGATGCTCACATTTATTGGGGGATCATGTCACCTGGAGTTAAGGATGAATATGCAAGTTAGTGGCTTGGAGAGAAACAATGTCAAAATAAGGAGCTTGGAGCTGTGCCCTGAGATGGGATCCTGACACCTGTCACTCATGGGGGTGCTACCAAACAGAGCTGTGAGTACAAAAGGACTTTGACTGTTTCATTCTGGGCACTCACTTTGATTTGAGTGATAATTCTTTCTTTTTTTTTTCAGTTGTAAATGCCCTTCGTAATACCTGTGTGACTGTTTATAGAGGCAAGCCCACTGAAATTAGCTGGCCTAATGAAAATAATGAGAAATCTGTAGAGCAATTACACCCCATAACACCAGGCCCTGACTGCCAGAGGCCAAACAGGCCAGCTTCCCTTACTCTGCAAGTGTGTCTACCAGCCTGGGAGGAGAAAAAGGGAGAAAAGAAGTAGATAGCATCAAATATTACCCAGAGCCCTCCTGATCCTCAGCTTTGTGCCATCTCCTGTCACCACCTTTCCATCTGGAAGTGTAACCTCACAGAAATAGACACCGTGGTCACTGGTGGTCACATTGAGGATCACCAGGGAGGCATCCCCTTGGGACAAGTCTCCCCCCAGGAAAACCCTGAAGTTATTTGGCACGACGGTCACGTTGTTTTCTAGCAGGTCCATCTGCCCCTTTTCATCTTCTTTGTACCACTTCACCCTCAGGTCAGCCAGGGAGGGACGTCGTGGGCTGGTCAAGTGGCAATTTAAGACCACGGTTTCCCCCTCTTTGGCTTTTTCCTTGGCTGGTGTTTGAATCACCAGAAGGTGCCATGGCTCAGGTGAGGTCAACAACGAAGGCTGTGCTGTTCCAGGAGTCACAGCTGCACTCCCCTTGCTCGTGGTTCCATCACTGACACCAACATCTGTACCAGGAAAGAGAAAGAAGAGGAAGGTTGAGGAGGATAAACCCTCCAGCTGCTCCTGACCTCTAACCAGCACCAAGCATGGAATCAGGACTTGGGGGTAGTCACTAGTATGACAATAGGGATTTCTTTCCCTAGACCCTGCTTAGATTATGTTCATGTGTCTTTTTCTGGTCCTCAGCTCCTCTCCACTGCCAGTCTAGAGGAAGATCAATGTCCAATGGCTTTGGGTGAAATTCAGAGTCCACTCAGCTACATTTCCACCTGGAACACTAACCTCTTTCTTCCCACCCCAAAAAGTTTTGGGGCCTGATGTTTCTACCTCAACTGCTTTTGAGGCAAAGCAAGAGATGCATGCACACTGATCCACAGGCAGCTCTGTTCTGACAAGTGTGAATATGTGTCCATCCCAACCTGCCTGCATCCCAAAACACAGCCTGAGCTTCTGAGGAATTCTGGCATGCACTTCCAGTTTCAGGAGAGGGAATCTTGAAGTTGTGGGAAGAATCTCCACTGCCAGAGACTGAATCCCCAGCAGATCCTGTCAGTGACATGAGGGATGGCACCTTTGCATTCTGAGGGTGTTGATGCCAAGGGTGACATCTGTGCTTTGTGAAGGGATGACATTGTTCTGCTACCCTTGGTTAGAGAAATAAGGACAACAACCCTGTAGTAGAGATTTAAACCTGTCTCCTCTCACTCAGCTGCTGATCCTAATATCAAACAGCCTTGAGTTAAGAGTGGTGTGAGTGGATCTCATTCCTGGAAACAAGCCTGGGCTCAGGACTGTCTCAAAAAGTTGCTGTCTCAAAAAGTTGCTCTCTCAAAAAGAGGGAAGAAGAAAAAAAACTCTTAAAAATAAGCCAGCAGCTGTCACCAAGAAAGAATTCAGAACACTTTTTGGAAAAATTTCTTCTGTTGTTTCATTTTCTTCAAGTGAAAGAGTCTCCCTTCTCATTTGTTGGTG